GCCGGGAGGTAGGGCAGGGTGGGAAGCTGTGATTTTTGGAGAGAGGTTTAATAGACATCAGAGGGTTGCAGGCTCCGAAATCTCTTTCTTTTTTATTTTGGAAATGGCTCTGCAAACCCCGTAGGGTCCCCAGCCCCAGCAGGGGGACTCGTCCCTTGTCGAGGGGCCATGCTGTCCCCATGGGGTCACCCCATGGGCTCACGCCGAGGGACTGTGGTGGTGCCCAGCTGCTCTGCAGCACCCAGCAGGGCCAGCAAGTCAAGGGGTTTCCCTCTGTCCCCCCCAAAAAAGCTCTCCCCTCCATGGCAGCTGTCCTCTGTGTCCCCATGGGGTGGTGGCCCTGACGAGGGTTGGTGGGCTCAGCCAACCCGGGGCCTAAGCTCAGCCTGGGCGCAGCTCCCAGGACTGGGGCCAGGCCCTGGGGGAAAGGCATTTAGTTAATTAAAAAAGAAAAAAAAAAGAAAAAAAAAAAGAAAGGAACTATCAAGCCCACTGACACGGGTCTGGTTTTCATTTTGAAGGAACTTTTTGTTAGTCATTTGTCATCAGCCTAATTCCTCCAAGTCCAAAACACTTGGTGTGATGTGATGAGATTTCCTTCACAGCCAGCAGATATACTCCGTTTCTCCGAAAAATGAGGTTATGCCGGGAAGGGGGTCGCTTTGGCGAGAGGCGGCAGGAGATGGACCTTGGCTGCCCCCCAAGTGAGTACTTTCCCTGCTGTGCTCGCCCTCGTGCCCCACGGTGGGTGGCCGGGGTGCTGCCGAGGGGTGTTTGCCGTGTGGTGCCGGCGTGAAGAGGGGATGTCCTGCCAAGCGCTGGTCCGGTTGAGCTGGATCCCCCTGCGCCGAGCCGGGAGGGGACCGGGACCCTGCAGGAATGGAGCTGCCTCCCACCCACTCCGTCCACCCCAGCCTTTCTCCTCCTTTCTCTTTTTTCACCTTTCCCTTGATTCTCCTCCATCTCCTTCCCTCTCTGCTGTCCCAGCCCCTTCCCCTTCCCTCCCGGCGTGGCCAGGCGCCAAAGGGACTTTGCACCCCAAGGCAGCGCTCGCTCCTTGCTCCTTCCCACAAGCCGGGGAGCCGACGAAGGGAGAGCAAAATGCTCCGGTCTTATCTGCGAGGGGAGGCAGGCTCGGTGGGCAGGGTTTGCGCGAAGGCTGCTGGCTTATAAGCAGCTGGCAGCGGAGGGAAAGCTATCTCGCAAGGCAC